TCTCTTTTTAAAATATTTTAAATTGGGACTTCCGGTCAAGATGGCACCGTAGGTAAATGCGGTATCGCGTCCTCCCACAACCACATCAAAGTTACAACTAAACTACAGAACAACCATCATTCAAAGCCGCCTGAAATCAAGCTGAATGGAAGTCCTACAACTACGGAATTAAAGCAGCTACATCCAGACTGGTAGGAGGGGCGGAGGCGGACGGGCTGGTCCCATACCCACGTGTGGCGGATAAAAATCAGGAGGACACCTCGGCTGGGAAGGTCCTCCCTGAGGACGGAGGGGTCCCCGTCCCACACCAGGTGCCCCGCTCAGGGTTCCAGTGCCAGGAAGAGAAGTCCCCATAACTTCTGGCTGGAAAAACCAGCGGGAACTGAGGCTCAGGAAGGCTGAAGCGGCTGGAGCCCCAGGCAGCTCCCTAAAGGGCCCGCGCATGAACTTATCGGACTTGCTCCCTCTAAGCCTGGAGGGGAGGCAGCTCCAGGGGCGCCAGAGACATACAGGGAAGAACTGAGCTGTTTGGCACTGGAGCGAGGGCTGGAGACGGGGCTTTCTCCAGGACAAACGTGCTGTCAGAGGCCTTTGTTCCTTTGGTGAGCCCTTCCCTGGGGCAGCAGACAGAAGCCTTATCTGGGACTCCAGCAACCTGGCTCACACTGGTAGCCCCGCCCTGGTGACTCTGTGAGGCCCCGCCCCACCCCACCCAACTTTCAGGCCCACCTAAGCTGTTGCCACTTGCTTAACCATAGGATTGGCCTGTCTTGGATCCTGTTTCAGGTTTTTCCTAAATTCTTTCAAAAGAGCAGCATCTGGTCTCAGCGAGCCCCATACCGCTCGTTAAGTAATACACAGAAACAAACACAAGGAGGCAGCCAAAATGAGGAGACAAAGAAACAGGTCCCAAATGAAAGAACAGAACAAACCTCAGGAAAAGAACTAAGCGAAATGGAGATAAGCAACCTAACAGATGCTGAGTTCAAAATACTGCTTATAAGGATGCTCAGTGAACTTAGTGAGAACCTCAGTGAACTTAGGGAGGGCCTCAAGAGCATAAAAATGGACCAGTCAGAAATCATGGATGCACAGTTAGAATTGAAGGAGGCATTAACTGAAATAAAGAATAATTTACACAGCTTCAATAATAGAGTACGTAAATCCAAGGGGCAAACCATCGATTTGGAATATAAGGAAGCAAAAAATGCCCAATCAGAACAGCAAAAAGAAAAAAGAATCCCCCAAAAAGAGGATAGTGTAAGGAGCCTCTGGGACAACGTCAAGCGTGCCAACATTCACATCTTGGGGGTGCCAGAAGGAGAAGAGAGAGAACAAGAAATCGAAAACCTGTTTGAAACAATAATGGCAGAAAACTTCCCTAACTTGGTGAAGGAAACAGACATACAAGTCCAGGAAGCACAGAGAGTCCCAAACAAGATGAACCCCAAGAGGTCCACACCAAGACACATCATCATCAAAATGCAAAAGGTTCAAGACAAAGAGAGAATCTTAAAAGCAGCAAAAGAAAGGCAGCTAGTTACCTACCAGGGAGTTCCCATTAGGCTGTCAGCTGATTTCTCAAAAGAAACTTTGCAGGCCAGAAGGGAGTGGCAAGAAATATTCAGAGTGATGAAAAGCAAGAACCTACAACCAAGATTATTCTATTCTGCAAAGCTGTCATTTAGAATCGATGGCCATATAAAGACTTTCCCAGACAAGAAAAAGTTAAAGGAGTTCATCGCTACCAAACCGTTATTATATGAAATGATGAAGGGTCTTTTTGAAGAAAAAGATAAAATATATGAACAAACAAAATGGCAATGAATACATATCTATCAGCAATGGAATCTACAAACAAAATGGACACCTAGAACAGAAACATTCTCATAGATACAGAGAACATTTTGTTGGTTGCCAGTTGGGAGGGGGGTTGGGGGAATGGGTGAAAAAGGTGAAGGGATTTAGAAGTACAAATTCATTGCTAGACTGACAAACCTCAAAGGGAAAGGGGTTGGGGGGGTGGGAAGAAATAAACCAAAGAACTTATATGCATAACCAATGGACACAGACAATAGTGTGGGAAAAGGTGGGAGGGGGGTGGGAGTGGGGAGGAGGGGGGTCAATGGGGGAAAAATGTGGAACATCTGTAATTTTACATTCAACAATATTTAAAAAAATAAATAAACAAAATGACTACTCTTTGCCAAAAAATAAAAATAAATAAAATAAAATATTTTAAATTGATTTTTAGAGAGAGAGGAAGGGAGAGAAACATCAATGTGAGAGTGACACATCAATCGACTGCCTCCTGCATGTCCTCTAACAGGGATTGAGCCAGAAACTCAGGCATGTGCCCTGACCAGGAATCGAACCAGCAACCTTTCCATGCATGAGACAATGCCCAACCAACTGAGCCACACTGGCCTGAGCTAGTTTATTTCTTTTTAGTCTGAGTAATATTTCATTGTATGAATATACCACATTTTGTTTATCCATTCATCAGCTGATGGACATTTTGGGTTGTTTCCACTTTTTGGGTGTCAATATAAGAAATGTCCAAACTTGTAGAGAATTTTTATGAGTTTATTTGAGTTAAACCAATGACATGCTGGGAAGCAAGATGTCAAATGCTCCAAGGAATGACACTTTTGCAGTTCCTTTTATACCTATGGAATTAAGGAGGGACCTCAAGAAAGATTCCATGAACATGGGAGAACCGAGGCAGGGAAATCTCTATTATGAGATTACAGGATAGTTAACAAGATTAGATGCTCTCTTTAGGGTGGTTACACTTCCAAGGGGTCTGAAAAAGAGGCATTTCAAAGATGTGTTAAGCTAGTGCACAAAAACAATGGATAGGGCTTGCTTAAGTTAAATATAAAACTTTTATATGCCTGGGGCATGACTACCCACCATTCCTAACCTGCCCAGTTAGGAATTTATGATCAGGTCATCCTGTGAGGTTACTTTTGGTTAGATTTATTACAGAATCCCTTTTTTGTTTACAGCAGTATGGTAGTTAACTTTACGTTTAACCTTTTGTGAAACTGTCACACTGTCTTCCAAAGCAGCCATAGCATTTTACATTCCCACCTGCAGTAGATGAGGGTTCCTGTTTTCTCCACATTGTTGCCGACACGTGTTTACTGTCCATCTATTTTTAAAACTTTTTTTCATCTATTTTTTTTTTTTTTAATCATAGCCATCCTAGTGGGTGTAGCCACTTTGAAAAACAGTCAGTAGTTCCTCAAAAGGTTAAGCTCAGGTTCTGAACCCTACCACCACCGAGATTGTTGTGGTTTTATTTCTGTTTTAAATTTGTTTAGCGAGCCCTGGTGTGGCTCAGTGGAATGAGCGTCATCCCATGGACTGAGAGGTCCCAGTTGGATCCTCAGTCAGGACACATGCCCAGATTGTGGGCTCCATCCCCAGTAGGGGATGTGTGAGAGGCAGCCAATCAATGTTTCTATCTCTCTCTCTCTCCCTCACTCCCTCTCTTTCTAAAAAAAATCAATAAAAACATATTAAAAAATACATTTGTTTAATGACTTGTCTGGACTAATTCTGTAGACTCTGTCTCCTCTTCAGTGTGTAGCCCACTGATGTTTCTGCTCTGTTTTTTTTTTTTTTTAATTCTTTTTATTTATAAGCATGGCTTCCTCTGTGTCATACCTGGATCAGGATAGCTTAGTGAACAATCATTTGTTAGAGGTTGTCTTTAAACACCTTGGGCCAGTATTGTCTTCCATCCTTTGTTGATGGAACTGTGTGTGTGTTGGGAAGCATATTCAAAGTTCAGGATGTTTACAAGTCTCCCCTGATTTTTACTGTCTGTATCTGTGTAAGTCTTTATGTTCAGCCATCATGTAGATGGCTAGGGCCCTCTCCAGTACCCTGAGCTTGAGGGCAGCTTGCATGTATGCATAGCCTTCTAGATCACCAAGGATACAGAGGGAGCTTATCAAGCCCCATTAGGGCTGTCATGTTTTCTGAATCTCTCTGCTAAACAGGCCTGCTGTTCTGTTGCTTGCCCCCACCATTATTATGACCTCAGGTAACTGATGTTGGTTTTCCCTGATCTAAGGAGTTTGCTATTGTTTTCAACACCCCTGGGCATAGGACTTTTTGTACTCATTTCTAAACAAGTAATTCCAGTCCAGCAGCCAAGTTGTTGGTTTTTAGGGCTTTGCCCTGCCCTGCCCTTGTAAACTCAGCTCCAGTGAAACTGGGAAGGGGGACATGAATAGCCTCAAGGTAAAACACCATAGATTCCCACTGTTCTAACCCAAGGTTCAGTAGGTTTTCTTAAAGACATCTTAATTTATGGTTTAATTTTGGTCTATTTTCATAGTCCCAAAATGGTTGTTTTTGTCACTGTTATATAGTTATCTCCCTGTTTTTTGGGGAGAGGATTTGCTGAACCCCTCACTCTGCCATTCCTGAAGTTCTGCTTAATTTATGTTTTGAAAGATCATTGTGGTACAGTCGAAGATCAGTTGGTGGAGGGGAAACTGGTGGTCAGCAGTATAAGTTTTTACTCAGTAGTCCTTTGTAATTTATAAAGAGGAGTGGAAAAATAGAAATAGTTGGGTTGATTTTTGGACAGGGGTTGGCAGAAGAGGTATGATGGAAAATCAAGGGGATAGGAGAATTCAGAGTGCTGGTTACTATCTATGAAGTCCCACTGTCTATGGACTCTTTTCTAGGTAGAGAAGGAAGTGAAGTCCACAGGGACATGGTGCCCTTGAAAAATAGGTAACAGGCTTGATAAATTAAAGGCCTAAGGAAGTTGGGGGTAAATTCAAGGAGAGTGAGGTAATGGAGAGGTAGAAAAACTAGTAGTTCAGAGAATGGATTCTGTGTTTGGTTTTGGAGGTACAGCCAGTACAGTTGTCACTACAGAAATAGACAATTGAAATTGTTGAGAGGAAATTCGAATAAGATTTGTCATACTACTCAATTTTATCACCCTCTCAATGTGAAATGTCAACTTCCAGGTTTCTCCCCTACCTTCACTGAAGACTTTGGGAACAGCTGTTGTCCTTTCCCCTTTCATCCTGAAAGCCTTCATCATCACCCTTGATGATCTAGGACTCAAACCTGATCTTGGTACATGGAGAGAGGTGAGTAAAGGAAATGAGCAACCTCCAATTAAAAGCTCTGCAAAGTTACGCAGAGTTAAGGAGAGATGGAGGCTGAATGGATGAGCAAGACCAAAAGCAAGACAGTTTTAGGAAATAGTAGATCCTTCCTTCCTTCCTTCCTTCCTTCCTTCCTTCCTTCCTTCCTTCCTTCCTTCCTTCCTTTCTTCCTTCCTTCCTTCTTTCCTTCCTTCCTTCTTTTTTGCTTAAGCAAAGGGTACAATTAGGGGTATAATAGAACATTGGAATCTATGTTAGTTTGAAGCCAAAATATAACTAGAACCATTATTGTTAAAAATATTATTAGTTAGGTGATATGCTAAGGAAACTGAACTTATTTATTTTGTTTAGATATTAGGGACATTTTGTAACTGGTGTTGGTAGCTGGGAAGCAGTTTGACAGTTTTGGAATACTTGGACTATGGCAGGTGTGAAATTGGTGTATAATTAGTAAGTTTTTAATAATACCATTGGAATTGAAGTTGACTATAGATCATAATTTTTATAGGAATGTGTTCAGCAGACTGTGATGAATTCTGGTCTTTCTGTAATTAGAAAATCAGAGCTTTACAAATGTATTGACTTTTTGAAATAATCTTTTTCTATTCTCTTCCAGAACCATCTGCAACCCACAATATATAGAGGACTGTATAGGATCTGCTTCAGCGTGAGGGTTTGGATCTCAATTGCCCTGACTCTATTTCATATGACTGTGTCTCAGTATAAGGAAGATATGTGTTTAAGCTAGAAGGAAAGGAAAAGAGAAAATCTAAAGCCAAAATGAGACTGAATTGGAGGTGTAAACCTCCAGTTTTGAAAACCTTAAGAAGATTAACTGCTGTGATGGTAATTAGGCACATTTTCAGTTCTAGCTATCGTTTGTTATGAACTGAAAGAACATTGAAATAATGAGATCCAGAGGTGCATAATCGCTGGCAGTGGGATGGAGGTAGGGAGTCGGTTAGCTGGCAAGGAGCCTTAGAGCTAGCTGTTTTTCTATTAATACTGTATATTTGGTATTGGTTGATAACAGTAGAAAATGATTTATGATCACTCTGGGGACTTAGTATACTGATTTCTACTGTTAGAGTATGAATGTGCTTAATGGTTATTCTTATAAATGTAATATTTCTTTTATGTCACTGTAGCAGCCATCAGAAAAGAGATCACAGAAAAGCTATTACCTGTACAGTCCTCTTAATCATTTGTGACGTGGGGTATTAGCTCCTAGGCTGTCAGAATTCCAGTTCACGAGGCAACCCTTATCCTCCTGGTCGAGGCAGGTGAGCAGTCCCCAGGACGAGCTGCATGTTCTCTAGAAAAGAACAAGAGCAAAAAGCAAAGAAGGTATGTATAGGGAAATCTAGACAGGATGCTTAGATGCTAGAGGAGAAGTTAACGACTGGGCCTTAAGCAGCAAAGCGGAGGGGAGAACCGCAGGGGTCACATACAGCCTCAGAAGAGTGGTATCTATGAAACATAAACACTGGAAGAACTAAGTCTCTTTTGTGACCTGGCTTTACTTCAAGAATGAAGACACTTAGATTGAACTGCATTAAAAATATCTCCGGAGGCAAGGTTAAATAGGAGGAAAGTGTGCTTTGAAGTTAAAATAGATGGAAATGTGATTGTACTGAAGTATTGTTTTCAAATGAAATAGTAGCTATATAGAGGTGATATTTTAAGTATTTCTTTAATATTTAATAGTTAAAAGAATGAATCCTAGCTCTTTCGTTTACTGTGTGACCATGTGAAAATTATTTACCTTCCCCAAACCTAAAGGATAGGTAGTCCCTTTACCTATAAAATAAATTAATGAAACTTATGTGGATATTGTAAGAATTAAAGGAAGAAATATATGTAGTATGTAGCATGATGCCTGGCTGAGTAGATAATAACCGTTGTCAGGTGGTGGAAGGGAGAGTTAATGAAATGGATGTTCAATAACGGAATGCCTCGTTCTTCACAGCTAGGTATGCAGTTCGTTATTTCTTGTCAGAGAAGCTGACAGCAGGATGCTTCAGGATCAGAACCTCTTGGAGATCAGGCCACCGTGCGTGCTAATTAGGCCATTTTGAAGGAAGGTAATTGCCATTGTTTCCTGAGTTTATAACAAATTTGGTCTTCTGTAAACTTTCCTCCCAGAATAATGCTTTTAACATTAGTATTTTTAGTTAGATGTACCATGAGTATTTGTAACCTTTTTATTTTTTTGACTTGGATCTTGAATTTTGCAGAAGATAGCAAAATGATGGACAGGTCAGGTAGACAGGCCGTGCTAGTTGAAAACAGAAGATGGGAAGAGTATAAAAGGTCGAGATTTCCCCATAGTTAGTGTGGCTAACCTGCATCTAATTCATTGTCTGGGTAGGTGAAGCAAAACACCTGGGATCCTAAGCGGTCCTAATGAGGACCCTGGCCCGCCCACTTAAGGTAAGGAGGAAGAGAAAGGCTTCTCAGTCTAGATAGCTTTTTGTGGACCTAGTTCTGTTAGGCCTAAAAAGGAGCCATGGAAGAGAAAAATTTAAAGGTACAGGATTTTTGTTGTTGTTATTTCACATTCTGTTTGAAGAGTCTCTGATTCAAACATTTATGTTTCATTTTAAATACTTCATTTTCTTTTAGAGTAGTTTCTGATTCACAGCAAACTTGAACGGATTTGCTCCTAATTCCATCGATAATTTGGACTAGACTTAGCTGGGTATTTCTTCTGCTGGTCTTGGCGGCTTGGTGGCTGGATGATTTAAAATGCCCTCACCCCCTCTGGCAGCTGGCAAGCTATCAGCCCAGGCGCCTAGATTTGCTTTGACCTCTCTAGAAGGTTTGAACTGGTTCGTATGGTGGCAAGCACCCAGGTACAAGTGCTTTGCGAGCTCCTGCTTACATCGCGTTTGTAGATATCATACTGGCAAGTCACATGGCCCAGTCCAGAGTCAGCGTGAAGGAAGACTACCCAAGGGTGTGGATTCAAGGACGCATGATTCATCGGGAGCGATTGATCCCGCATTTCCCATGTCTGTGCTTTTTAGGGATACATATATGTAGTATATATATTAAAACGTATGGAAATCAGAGATATGAGAGTCTGAATAGTGGTTACCTCTGGGGAAGTAGGAAGATGAATGGAGAAGTGATAGGTGCACATGATACTTAAATTGCAGCAGTAATGTTTTATTTCTCTAAAAAATAGGAAGAAAATTTGGCAAAAAATTAATATTTAACAAACTGGGTCGTGGGTACATGGGTGTCTATTATTCTCTATCCTTTTTTTTTTTTTTTTTTTTTTGCTTAAAGTATTTTCCAATTTAAAAAAAGTGAATGGGAGGTGTGGAAATGCAAACTAATTTTTGAAGACATTTTGCAAAGGGGAAGGGTAATAGAGAAAGCAGGCAATAGCTAGACAAAAAAGCATAGTTGAAGGAGCACTGTTTTTTTAAAACAGGGAAAAACGAGAACAGTAATGAGTTGAAGAGAAGGTATCAGTAGGTTAGGCTGCTGAAAGAGGAAGTTAATTCAGTAAGTACTCCTGACTTTTATCAAAGAGCAAGAGATAAGTATAGGCAAGGATGTGAAGAAAAGGGAATACGTGTACACTATTGATGGAAATGTAAACCACTATGGAAAAAAATATGGAATTTCCTCAGAAAAATTAGAAATAGAGCTACAATATGATCCAGCAATCCCACCTGTGTGATAGAAATGAAATCAGTATCTCAAAGAGATATCTGTGCTCCCATGTTCATTGCAGCATTATTCACAGTAGCCAAGATATGGCGATAACCGAAATGTCCATCAACAGATGAATGGGTAAAGGAGATGTGATACACACACACACACACACACACACTGACATATTCAGCTATGAGAAAGGAAATCCTGCCATTTGTAACATTATGCTAAGTATAGTCCAGACAGAGAAAATAAAATACTGTATGATCTCACTTACATGTGGTATCTTTTAAAAAACTTTTCATTGATTTTTTTAGATAGAGAGGAAGAGATGGGGGGTGGGGAGGGGAGAGAGAGAGAGGGAGAGAGAGAGAGAGAGAGAAACATCTATATAAGAGTGAATCATTGCCCGGCCAGTATGACTCAGTGATTGAGCATCGACACATGCACCAAGAGGTCACCGGTTTGATTCCCGGTTAGATCACATGCCCAGGTTGTGGGCCCGATCCCCTATGAGGGGCATGCAGGAGGTGGCCAATTGATGTTCTCTCTCATCGGTGTTTCTATCTCTCTCCCCCTCTCCCTTCCTCTCTCTCTAAAATCAATAAAGAAAAAAAATTTTTTTTTAAAAAGAGTGAATCATCGATCAGCTGCCTCCCTCATGACCCCTACTGGGGATCAAGCCTGAAACCTGGGCACGCGCCCTGACCAATTGAACCGGCTTGTTTTGTAAAGATCATTTGGGAAGCAGTATAGAAACTACCACTCTGGAGCGGGGAGAGAATGGTGGCAGGACTAGTCAGCAGGCATTGCAGTAAATAACCCACCTGATATTATAAAAGTCTGAACCCAGATTATGGCAATGCAAGGGAAAGGCCAGATTTGGCCAAATGATGTTTATGAGGTAGAACCAATATAATTCATGCTGATTCATTAAATGTCCAGTGTTAGGGAGGAGAGATGGAGCAAAAGCAAGATTTTCTAGTTTGGGAACCTGCCTTGCGATGGAGAATGAGAATATAACCCAAGAATCCGGTAAATTGCAGGGGCCTGGGGCAGTGGAAAAGACGTCTGATTTTAGAACAGTGGAGCTTACGGTACCTTCGTAGCCTGCAGGTAGAGAGGCTTCAAGTACTTTGGAAATAGAGGTCTTGAGCTTAAGCAGGAGTTTGGAGTTAGTATTAAAATGTTTGGGCCCTGGCCAGTGTGCCTTAGTTGGTTGGAGGATAGTCCCATACACTGAAAGGTGGCGGGTTCGATTCCAGGTCAGGGTACATACCCAGGTTGCAGGTTTGATCCCTGGTTGAAGTGTGTATGGGAGGTAACTGATTGATGTTTCTCTCTCATCTCTCTCTCTCTCTCTCTCTCTCTCTCTCTCTCTCTCTCTGGTTTGATCCCTGGTTGAAGTGTGTATGGGAGGTAACTGATTGATGTTTCTCTCTCATCTCTCTCTCTCTCTCTCTCAAATCAACAAGTCCCTCCAATGTGGCTCAGTGGTTGAGCATTGACCTATGCACCAAGAGGTCACCGGTTGGATTCCTGGTCAGGGCACATGCCCAGGTTGTGGGCCCCATCTCCAGTGGGGGGCATGCAGGAGGCGGCCAATTGATGTTCTCTCTCATCGATGTTCTCTCTCATTGATGTTTCTCTCTCTCTCTTACTTCCTCTCTCTCTCAAATCAATAAAAAGCGTATCCTCGAGTGAAGAAAAAAAAATTGGGATTTATCAGCTATAGGTGACAGCTGAAGATATGTAAGTAGACATACTTTTCCCAGTGAATAGACGTTGGATAGACGAGGAGCATCTGACAGGTGAAGGTAAGAAGGATTTAAAAAATGAGGAGACAGTATTGTCCCAGAGGCCAAGAAGCGGAACTCTATAAAAAATAAGAGCAATTAATAGACATAGGCTATGTGAATATAGGCCAGTGAATCCAGCAACTGGGAAGCTTTCCTTTATAGTTTCATAAAGTCATGGCAGAAGCCAGACTACTGTGGACTGAATGCAAGAACAAAATACAGACAGTGTGTGTGGGCTAATCCTTCCAGAAATCGGGCTGTGGAAGGAAGGAGGGAAAAGGGATGGAAGTTTGTAATAAGATAGGGTGAACAGAAGTGGTTTTAGAGTGGGAAAAGTTAATAAATAAAGTTAACAAATAAATAAAGAAAATGTTGAAAATTGAGGAGAAGGGATAACTCATAGAGCCAGAGTCTGAGACAATCTTCCTTATGAATTCTCTGGTGATTACGGCACATAATTTGCCTTGGGATGCTCAGAGTGTGGGGGAAAAAAAAAAAAAAAAAACAACAGACAAAAGGCAAGAGGAAGAGAGATACAAGAAAATAAAAGCTTGGACTTTCTGTTCATTACTTCCTTTTATATTTTAGAGAATACTTATCATAAAGTACAATGAGCCTCTCTCTGGGTCTGATGATCTGCGCTGTTCCTTTGTTGTAGAAGATTCTGTTCACTTCTCTGGCTGAAAAAGCTACTAGGAAATGCAACTCAGCTCAATTACCATTAAAATGAACCATCTCTTTGGTAACTTTTTTCTTTCAGCTTTATTGAGATATCCTTGACATATAATGTTGTGTAAATTTAAGCTGTACAACGTATTCATTTCATACATTTGTATATTGCGAAATGATCACCGCTACAGTGATAGCTAGCACTTCTATCACGTCACATAATTACCATTCTTTTTTTTGTAGTGATAATATTGTTTTTTTCTTTATTGATTTTAGGGAGAGAGGAAGGGAGTGGAAGAGAGAGATAGAAACATCGATGAGAGAGAACATCAATTGGCCGCCTCCTGCATGCCCCCCACTGGGGATGGGGACCACAACCTGGGCATGTGCTCTGACCGGGAATCGAACCAGTGACCTCTTGGTGCATGAGGTGACCCTCAACCACTGAGCCACACCAGCCGGGTTGTGATAATATTTAAGATCTACTGTCTTAGCAACTTTCAAGGATGTAATACAATATTATTAACTACAATCACAATGCTGTGCAGGTACTTCTGTTACTCTGATCATTTTTTAAATAAATTGCTTGTTTTACTGTTGAGTTGTACGAGTTCTTTATGTTTTTCCGATTTTATCTCCTTATCAGATATATGATTTGCAAATATTTTCTCCCATTTGGTAGGTTGCCTTTTCATTTTGTCGATTATCTCTTTTGCTCTGCAGAGCTTTTCAGATGTACTTAGTCCCACTTTTGTTGCTTGGGCTTTTGGTGTTGTATCCAAAATATCATTGCTAAGACCAAGTCAGGGAGCGTTTTCCCTATGTTTTCTTCTAGGAGTTTTATGGTTTCAGGTCTTATGTTTAAGTCTATAATTGACTCTGAGTTACTTTTTGTGACTGGAATAAGATAGGGATCCGATTTCATTCTTCTGTATGTGGGTATCCAGTTTTTCCAGCACCATTTGTTGAAGCAACTATGCTTTCCCCATTCAGTATTCGTGACTCCCTTGTCACATATTATTCGACTATATGCAAGGGTTTATTTCTGGATTCGCAGTTCTGTTTCATCAGTCTATGTGTTTATTTTTCATGCCAGGACTACATTGTTTTGATTACTGTAGCTTTTAGTGTAGTTTGAAATGAGAACGTGTGATGCTTCCATTTCTTCTTTCTCAAGGTTGCTTTAACTATTCAGGGTCTTTTCTGGTCCATATTAATTTTCGGATTTTTTCTATTTCTGTAAAAAATGTCATTGGAATTTTGATAGGGACTGCATTGATTCTATAGATGGCTTTGGTAGTACAGACATTTTAAAAATATTAATTATTCTGATCCTTGAATATGGGATATCTTTCCATTTGTTTGTTTCTTTGATTTCTTTCTTTAAAATCATGCAGTTTCCAACCTCTCCAAACAGGACATACAAATGGCCAAGAGACATGTGAAGAAATGCTCAACATCACTAATCATCAGAGAGATGCAAATTAAAACAACCATGAGGTATCACCTCACACCTGGCAGATGGCCGCCATCAACAAATCATCAAACAACAAGTGTTGGCGAGGGTGTGGAGAAAAGGGGACTCTAGTACACTGCTGGTGGGAATGCAGACTGGTGCAGCCACTATGGAAAACACTATGGTGTTACCTCAAAAAATTAAAAATTGAACTGCCATTTGACCCAGTGATCCCACTTCTAGGAATATACCCTAAGAAGCCCGATACACCAATCAGAAAGAATATATGCATCCCATGTTCATAGCAGCACTATTTACAATAGCTAAGATCTGGAAACAGCCCAAGTGTCCATCAGTAGACAAATGGATAAAAAGCTGTGGTACATATACACAATGGAGTACTATGCAGCTGTAAGAAAGAAAGATCTCTTATTCTTTGAGACAACCTGGAGGGACCTGGAAAGTATTATCCTAAGCAAAACAAGCCAAGCAGAGAAAGACAAATACCACATGATCTCACTTATTTGTGGAATATAATGAACATAACAGTCTGAGGAACAGGGTAGACCCAGAAACTTGGAAGTAGGGTGCAGACTGACAGCCCTCAGATGAGGGGATGGTGGGGGGAGGGAAGAGATAAACCACAGAACTTATATGCATGTACGTGTAACCAATGGACATAGACAACAAAGCCGGGGACGGGGTGGGGGGAATGGGGAGGAGGGTGTCAATGGGGTAAAAAAGGAGAAACATCTGTAACAAAAATAAAATTTAAAATAAAAAAAAATCATGCAGTTTTCAATGTAAAGATCTTTTCACCTCTTTGGTTAGATTTAGTTGTCAGGTAAAATGATGGGTGCTATAATGAGTAATGTTGTAAACTAAGAACTTGAAGAAAGAATTACTCATAGAAACTGAAATAAGAATTGTCATCTAGCCCTGGCCAGTGTAGCTCAGTGGGTTGGCGCATCATCTCATACACTGAAAGGTCATGGGTTCGATTCCAGCCAAGGCATACACCCAGGTTGCAGGTTTGAGCTCCAGTTGGGGCACGTGAGGGCAACTGATCAATGTTTCACTCTCATCGATGTTTCTCTATCTCTCTCTCTCTCCCGCCCCCCCCCCCCTTACTCTCTCGAAAATCAATTTAAAAAGCATGTCCTGGGGTGAGGATTTAAAAAAAATTTTTTTAAAAGAATGATCATCTAAAACATGAGATTAGCCAGCTGTAGAAGTGGTTTATAAGTGTGATTCTTACAGAAACATAGAAAACAATGAAATTAATCAAGGTACAACTTTAGAGCTGGGAGGTAACTAAAGAAAGCATTTCCGCAAACATTTTATAGACTTTTAAGATTACTCCAGTTTTTCTACATGTCTTTTAGTTTTTTACAACAGAAAAGTATGTACAAATATTTCCATGTCCACATATACAGATCTGTCTCCACCCCCCCCCCCAAGTTTCATATTGTGGTAAATGTATATAGCCTAAAGTTTATCATTTTAACTATCTTTTCAGCAAAGTTCAGCAGCATTAATTACATTTATGTTGATGTACAACCATCATCTACCTCCAGAACATTTTTATCAACCCGAACTAATTTCTCCACATCCCCACTGACACTTGTTATCATCTTTTGTTTTTGTAAAATAATAGTCATCCTACTATTCTAGTGGGTGTAAAGTGATATTTCACTGAGGTATTGGTTTGCTTTCAATCATGATTGGTGATGTGGAACATCTTTTCACATGTTTGTTGGCCATTTGTATATCTTTGGAGAAATGTCCGTTCAAGTCTTTGCCTATTTGTTTTTTTAAAGGAAGAGTTCTTTCTCTCTCTCTCTCTCTCTCTCTCTCTCTCCTCACCTGAGGATATTTTTACATTTATCTTCAAACAGAGTGGGAGAGAGAGAGAGAGAGAGAGAGAGAGAGAGAGAGAGAGAGAGAGAAACATTGATGTGAGAGAGACGCATTGATTGGTTGGTTGCCACCCACATGACCCCAACTGGGGCCAGGGACTAACTGCAACTAAGGTACTTGCCCTTAGCCGGAATTAAACCCGGGACTCTTTGGTCCACGGGCCAATGCACCAACGGCTGAGCTAAACCCGCCAGGGCTCTTTTGCCTATTTTTAAATTGGGTTGTTTTTGTTGTTGATCTCCTTCACTTTTCAAGAATAAATTTGCTGGATACAGAATTCTAGTTTTGGTGTTTTGTTCTTTCACACTACATATTTCACCACACTCTCTTCTTGCTTGCATAGTTTCTCATGTAATTCTTATCTTTGTTCCTCAGTAGGTAAGGTGTTTTTTAACTCTGACTTCTTTAAAGATCTTGACTTTGTCTTTGATTTTTTTGTAATTTGAATATGATATACATAGGTGTAAATTTTTAAAATATTTATCCTGATTGGAGTTCACTGTGTTTCCTGGCTCTGTAGTTTGTTATCTGTCATTAATTTTGGGAAATCCTCAGCCCTTATTAATTCAATATTTCTTCTGTTTCTTTCTTTCTTCTCTTTCTGGTATTCTCATTATGCATATATTATACCATTTTAATTGTTCTACAATTATTGCATATTATGTTTCATCTTTTTCATTCTTTGCATTCCAGTTTTGGAGGTTTATATTTACATATATTCAAACTTACTAATTCTTTCCTCATTTATGTACAATCTATTAATGAACCCATAAAAGACATTCTTTATTCCTTGTATAATGTTTTTTATTTTTAGCATTTCCTTTTGATTCTTCCTTAGAGTTTCAATCTCTCTGCTTACATGACCCATCTATTCTTTTTTAAAAAAATATTTTTTCTTTATTGATTTTAGAGAGAGAGGAAGGGAGAGGGAGAGAGAGATAGAAACATCGATGAGAGAGGACATTGATTGGTCACCTCCTGCATGCTCCCCAACTGGGGACCTGGCCCACAACCTGGGCATGTGTCCTGACCAGGTATTGAACCAGCGACCCTTTGGTGCATGGGTTGATGCTCAACCACTGAGCCACACCGGCAGGGTGACCCATCTATTCTTGTATGTTGTCCATTTTTTCCAATAGAGGCCTTGGCATATAGTTATTTAAAATTCCTGTTCTGATCTGATCATTCCAAAATCTCTGCCATATCTGAGTTTAGTTCTGATGCTTTCTCTGTTTCTTTCTACTATGTTTTTATCATTTAATATGCTTTGCAGTGTTTTGTTGAAAGCTGGACATAATGTATAGATATGCTTCACTTTATTGGACTTTGTTTTATTGGGTTTCACAGATGTCATATTTACAAATTGAAGGCAAGATGCTCCACCAGCAAAAAAAGGTATGACTCACTTTATTGCTGTGGTCGGGAACTGAACCTGCAATATCTCCAAGGTATGGCTGCACTGTATACAGAGAACTTGGGTAAACTGGCATTTAGTGTGAGATTTTGTTTATCTGGCTACAAGTTAGTCTGGGTTTACTGTTTACTCTAACTGTGTCAGAGGTAATATTTCCTCTGGTCTTGCTTTTATCTTCTCTGTTTGCCTCAGATTTCCTTAGAGAGTTCTTTTTATTTTATTTATTTTTAATTCTTATTTTTTATTGAATTTATTGGGGTGACATTGGTTAACAAAATTATATGGATTTCAGGTATACAATTCTATAATACATCTTGTGTATATTGTATTATGTATTTACCACCCCAAGTCAAGTCTCCTTCTGTCACCATTGATCTCCCCTTTACCGTCTTCTACTTCCCCTAACCCCCTTTCCCTCTGGCACTCACCATACTGTTTGTCCTACAGAGATGTTTTTATTTATTGTTTAAAATGTGTTTTTATTGATTTTTTTTTTTTAGAGAGAAAGGGAGCGAGAGATCGAAACATCGATGTGAGAAACATCAATCGGCTGCCTCCTGCACGCCCCCTACTGGGGATTGAGCCCGCAACCCAGCTATGTGTCCTGACCGGGATCAAACCAGGACCTCTCAGTCCATGGGACGAAGCTCAGTCCACTGAGCCACACCGGCCGGACTAGAGACTTCTTTTTAAATAAGGTCTGAGACGCCCTGGCCGGTTTGGCTCAGCGGTTGGAGCGTCGGCCTGCGGTACAGAGAGACCGGGGTTCGGTTCCCGCTGAGGGCACGTACCTCGGTTGCAGTTTGTCCCCGGCCCTGGTTGGTCATGCGGGTGGCAGCCACTCGATGTGTCCCTTTCACGTCGATGTTTCTCTCTCTCTCTCTCTCCCGCTCTGTCTGAACAAAAAATGCAAAAATGTCCTCGGGTGAGGATTAAAAAAATAAAATAAATAAATAAATAAGGTCTGAGACATGCAGTTCTTTCCATCGTAATCTCCTATTATACAGGAGCCTTACTGGTGTGGTGTCAGAGGTGAGGAAGGGTTCTCCTATGGTTAGGTGTCAAACCTTTAGTGAGCCTGTCTTCCTTGGCAGTGATCTTTACAAGTGTTTTCGTTATACACACACACACACACACACACACACACCAACTGACACACACCAACTTAGGTGAGACAGGAAGGCTAAAAGGGGACTGGAGTTGGGTATTTCCAGTCCAACAAATTGACTAGGCTCTGGTAGAACCCAAGGTGGTTAGGATCTGGTAAAGTAGATTAGCTTTAGTGTAGTTTTTTGCTAAGGAGACCAGAATACTCTGGGCATATTTCAAACTGGTGACCCCCTCTTCCCCATCAAAATCATGAGGGAATTTTTCTCCAGTTTTTACTCTGAGAACATCATGGAAGTATGGGGGCATCTCTGAGATTGGTCCCCTATTCTGGATTTTTTGTTTGTTTATTTGTTTAATCTTCACCTGAGGATATTTTTCCATTTATCTTCAGATAGAATGGAAGGGGGAGAGAGGGAGGGAGAGAGAGAGAGGCAGACAGAGAAACATCGATATGAGAGAGACACATCGACTGGCTGCCTCCCACACAACCCCGACCAGGGCCGGGGACCAAACCACAACCGAGGTACATGCCCTTGACCACAATTGAACCCATGACTCTTTGGTCCACAGGCCGGCACTCTAACCACTGAGCAAAACTGGCCAGGGCACTCTGGATTTTTTAACTCTCACAATTGTCCACATAGAGCTTCCAGCAATTGGTCAATTATAATTATTTCATTTTTATTATTATTTTTATCCTCACCTGAGGACATTTTTCCATTTTTTGTTCAGATACAGTGGGAGGGAGAGAGAGGAAGAGAGAGAGAGAGAGACATCTATGTGAAAGGGACATATCAAGTGGTTGCCACCCACATGACCCAACCAGGGCCGGGGACAAACTGCAACCGAGGTACGTGCCCTTAGCAGGAACTGAACCTGGTCTCTCTGGACCGCAGGCCAACGCTCTAATCGCTGAGCCAAACCGGCCAGGGCCATCAATTATAATTGATGTTTTCCTATGGTAGATTCTGCTCTTGAAAGCTGTGATTCTCCATATTCAGCCGTCTCTCCACTTTGGGGAGAAGTGTTTTGCCCTGTGACCTCAATCCTCTGATGAACTTAAGAATAGTTGTTGACTTTCAATTTGTTCAGCTTTTTTCTTGTGAGGATAAGAGTGATGACGTCTGAGCTGTTTACATGTTGGACCTGGCATTTCTTTTCAGGCGTAAGTTTGTTTATGTTTTTTCTTTGTGTTCCTCAGATTTTTTACTGTAGGGAAGATTAGGATGATATCTAAGGTTCATCAATTCTAAGATTGTTTTTATGTGATAAAAGATTTCAATCATCAGTTAGTTGTACAGTTTCACCTTTGCATTCCTGTATCTTACTGGTTAGATCTACTTTACTTTTTTTTCCAAGCTGTAATATAATGAAGCCTAAATCTCATTTATAGGGTATTATTTCTAATGCTTTCCTACACCCTCTTACATATCTGAATTTTTCTTTTCTTTTTTTAGTGGTGAAATACACATATCGTGAAATTTACTATTTTAACTGTATTTATTTATTTATTTATTTATTTATTTATTTATCTATTTATTTATTTATTTTTGTGGTACGTGCCCCTAGCAGGAACCGAACCTGGGACTCTCTGGTCTGCAGGCCGACACTCAACCGCTGAGCCAAACTGGCCAGGGCTATTTTAACTGTTTTTAAATGTACAATTCAGTGATATTAGTATATTCATGATATTGTACAATCATCTCTTTTTTATCACTAGAAATGGAAACCCTATATCCATTGATCAGTTACGCCCCACTTCTCCCTGTCCTCAGCCCCTGGCAACCACTCATCTGCTTTCTTTTTTTTTAAACCTCACCCAAGGATATTTTTTTCTATTTATATTCAGACAGAGTGGGAGGGAGAGGGAGAGAGAGGGAGAAAAATGGAGAGAGAAACATCAATGTGAGAGGGACACATCTATTGGTTGTCTCCCGCACTACCCTGACCAGGGCCGGGGACAAACTGTAACCAAGGCACGTGCCCTTGGCCGGAATCGAACCCACAACTCATTGGTCCACGGGCCGACACTCTACCACTGAGCCGAACAGACCAGGGCACCACTCATCTGCTTTCTATCTCTATGGATTTACCTATTCTGGATATTTCATGTGAATGGAATCATACAATATGTGATCTTTTTGTGTCTGGCTTCTTTCACTTAGCACTGGGTCCCGTGCCACCCCCCCCCCTCAGCTTTATTAAGGTATGCTGGACAAACATTGTCTATATTTAAGGTATATAATGTGATATTTTGATATATGTGTATATGATATTGTATACTTATAGAAATGATTAGCATGATGTTTTTAAGGCTCATCCACACAATAACATGTATCAATACTTCATTCCTTTTTATGTCGGAATACTATTCCGTTGTATGGATAGACCACATTTTGGTTTAGCCATTCATCCATTGAGGGATTCTTGGGTTGTTTTTCAACTTTTGGCTACTGTGAATAGTGCTGCTAACAACATATATGCTCAAGGTTTTATTTGAACACCCGTTTTTAATTCTTTTGGGCATATACATCAGAGTGGACTTGTTTGGTCATATAGTAATTCTATGTTTAACTTATTGAGGAATTATCAAATTATTTTCCACAGCAGCTGTAGCATTTTACCTTCTCACTGGAAATATATGGGGGTTCCAAATTCTCCACATCCTCAGTAACACTTGTTATTATCTATTGTTTTGATCATAGTCATCCTTGTGGCTATAAAGTGGTTTTCATTTGCATTTCCCTAATGATTAGTGATGTTGAACATCTTTTCATGTGCCTGTTGGCCATCTGTATATGTTTTTTGGAGAAATGTCTGTTGAAAGTTCTGCCTTTTTAAAAATTGGGTTGTCTTTTTATATTTGAGTTGTCAGAGTTCTTTATATATTCTGGAGATATAGATACATACAACAGATATATGATTTGCAAATATTTTCTCCCTTTCCGAGGGTTATGTTTTTATTCTCTTGATATATATATATATATATATATATATATATATATATATAATCCCACCTGAGGATATTTTTTCCATTTATCTTTGGATAGAGTGGAAGGGAGAGGGGGGGGGGAGAGAGAGAAAAACATCGATGTGAGAGAGACACATCGATTGGTTGCCTCCTGCCATTCTCTTGACATTTTTATTATTTATTTTGTTGATCCTCACCCAAGTATATTTTTCCATTGATTTTTAGATAGAGTGGAAAGAAGGGTGGAAGGAAGGGAAGGAGAGAGGGAGACAGAGAGAGGGGGGTGGAGAGCGAGAGCGAGAGCGAGAGCGAGAGAGAGAGAGAGAGAGAGAGAGAGAGAAATGTCGATGTGACAGAAACACATTGATTAGTTGCCTCCCGCAGGACCCCAACTGGGGCCAGGGATTGAATGTGCAACCCAGGTATGTGTCCCTGACTGGGAATAGAATCCATGACCCTTCAGTCTGCAAGCCAACACTCTAACCACTGAGACAAGCCGACCAGGGCTCTTGATATCTTTTTAAAATAACAGCTCTATTGAGACATAATCACATATATACAATTCACTCAATTTAAGGTAGACAATTTTAGTATACTTAGAGTTGTACAACTATCAACACAATCAATTTTCAAACATTTTTATCTCTCCAAATATAAACTCCATACCCATTTGTAATTACTACCCCACTGTATTTTTCCTCCCAGAAAATTTTACATGATGTCTATGTACTTGACCTTAAGAGCTGCTAAGCTCTATAGTCATCCTGAGATGCAGGCTTATGGTAAGGTTTCCTACCCTATAATACAGAGAAGATAATTTCCTGGTATAAATAGGTTTAGAGTGTTTGGAAATTATCCCCTGAAATATTACTCTATAAAGACAACCACTACGTTGTAAGTAAATTTCTTAAGGGACCCATAGCCTGATGTTGGAGGCCAAATATCTACACACTAAAATCACTTTCAGAAGCCTTCTTCATTTCAGGTGGGTTGTGTTATAAAAGGATTATACTTATGGACTTCTACTGCTTCGTCTAACTCTGAAATTAATTCAGGAAAGTCATGAAGAGAAAGGAGAATTCCTTATCTCTAGATTTTGTATTCCCTGTTCCTAAAGTTGGAGTCACCAACATTGCCCCTTAGAGAGAGCTCAGAAAGGAATCAGCCGGCTGCTTTAGACTGAGCCTTAAGGCCGCTGGTATGTTCATGGCATTTCCAGGACCGAGGTCTGATCTGTTGTTTTGTGGGTCCAGAAATACTGCTGTATTAATTTTTCTTAAATGTGTAACATGTTTATTTCTCCTTTTAATAACTTCTTTTTCTAATTAAAAGGAACACATTTGAAAAAAAAAGTTGAGACACAAAATATAAAATATGGTTAAAAATTTAAAAAACACAAATGCCTGGCTATTGTGGCTCAGTGGATTCCCATGGACTGAGAGGTCCTGGTTCGATTCCTGGTCAGGATACGTGCCCAGGTTGCAAATTCGATCCCCAGTAGGGGGCGTGCAAGAGGCAGCCAACCGATATTTCTCTCTCACATCGATGTTTCTATTTCTCTCTCACTTCCTCTTTCTCTAAAAAATCAATTAAAACGTATATTTTTTATTTTATTTTTTATCCTCACCCAAGGACATTCTTGCATTTATCCTCAGAGAGAGCGGGAGGGAGAGAAGAAGGAAAAGAGAGAAACATCGATGTGAGAGAGACACATCGACTGGCTGCCACCCACATGACCCCAACAGGGGCTGGGGACATGCTCTTAGCAGGAACCAAACCCGAGACTCTTTGGTCCACGGCCTGATGCTCTAACCACTGAGCAAAACCGGCCAGGGCAATTAAAACATATTTTTTAAAAAATTAAAAAAAACAACAATTCCACTTCTGTGTGTACACCCAAAAGCATTAAAATAGGGTCTTGAAGACATATTTACACACTCATGCTCATAGCAGCACTATTCACAATAGCCAAAGGTGGAAGTAACCCAAGTGCCTAGCAAGGAATAAATGGATAAAGAAAATGTGGTTTATACATAAAATGGAATATAATTCAGCCTTAAAATGAAGGAAATTCTGATACATACTACAGCATGGTAAACTTGGAAGACATACTAAGCGAGGTAAGCCAGCCACATAAGGACAAATACTGTGTGATGCCACTTACCTGAGGTCCCTAGGGTCGTCAACTGCAGAGACAGAAAGTAGAACAGTGGTTGCCGGGCCTGGGAGAGTGGGAATGGGAGTTATTGTTCAGTTGGTATCAAGTTTCAATTGAAGAAACTGAAAAAGCACAAATGTACTCAATGCCACTGAAATGTCTACTTAGAAATGTTTAAAATGGCAAATTTTATGTTATGTATATTTTGCTACAATAAAAAAACACTCACCTGTATAAACATGATTAAGTTCTAGTATCATACCACTGAAATAAATAGCAGTGGCTTAGAAACAAAACAAAACACGAAACACGATGTGCCTAGCTCCACTAAAGGGATATGGATGCCGCATGGTCACCGTACAGGTGGTTAGTAGTACTATCTACATCTTAAGTTATGTGAATTTAACTACATCAAATACAGGGTGTCCCCCCCAAATGCATACACACTTTAGCAGCTGGTAACTCGCTTAATTTTTACTCCTTTTCAGGTTTAACTGATTTGAAATAATGGGTGAAGCCAGATTAAGCTTTGAACAAAGAAATTTTATCCTAAAGTGCCACTAGACTTTTTTTTAATCCTCACCTGAGGACATTTTTTTTTTTTCATTTATCTTCAGACAGAGTGGGAGGGAGAGGGGGAAGGAGAGAGAGAGAGAACGAGAAACATCGACGTGAAAGGGACACATTGAGTGGTTGCCACCCACACGACCCCAACCGGGGCTGGGGACAAACCGCAACTGAGGTATGTGCCCTTAGCGGGAAGCAAACCCGGGACTCCCTGGTCTGTGGGCCAACGCTCCAACTGCTGAGCCAAACCGGCCAGGGCACCACTAGACTTTTTTTTATGGGGATACATAAACGATAAAGTTTATGGTACAAAACCGGCAACAGTCGATGAACTGAGGGCAGCTACTGAAAGAGAGAATGTGCACAAATACTGAACAAAATGATTCTTTTTTTTTTGGTATGTGTCCCTAGCGGGAACCGAACCCGGGACTCTCTGGTCCACAGGCTGACGCTCCAACCGCTGAGCCAAACCGGCCAGGGCACGAAAGGATCCTTGATATTTGTGATTCCATTGCTTTGTGTTATCAACAGTGCCTGGACCAGAATGGACATCAAACATCAGTTTGAAAATAGGTGTTAACAACAACAAAAAATTATTCATTTCTGTAGGTTTTAAACTTTGAAAATAAATGGTATATTAATAAACACTGCCTTTATAATCATTCAAAGTGTGTATACATTTCTGGGGGACCCTCCTATATATAGTTTAATCTTTAGAACATAAGCAGCATTTAGTAAATATTAGCTATCAGTACTTGTATCAACCGGGTTCCCCACTCTGCACTGGACACCCACTGACATAGTCTTTTCCTGCTCCATTTTTACCTAGATGGTAAGTAGACCACTTTCTTTCTAGTAAGACATCATTTCCCCCCAGATAAATTATATTATGCTCCATTAGGTAATAGCATCCTTCAGTTATAAGATACTAACTCATTCTAAATGTAGTACAAAATTGACATAAAACTATTAAGTCCCGACTAGTTGAATGGTCAAAGGATATATTTTATGAATGTATTGTCTACTTTCTCTAACCATCAGGGAATCCAGGCAAGTGTTCTCTACAATATCTTCCCCTAGAGTAGACCCTTGCCACCCTGCCCTCTACCTCCTGGGCAGAACTATTGGCTCTGGCATTTGTATCCCTATAATACTGTACACATACTTCTAGTATAGCATGTATTCTTTTTACTACAGTACCTAGTGTGGGAGCATCTCAAAGACAAGGACTGTATTTTTCATCTTTATTGTTGAGAGTATTAGAGATGTCCCCCCTTTTTCCCTCATTGCCCCCTCCACCTGTTTCCCACCCTGCCCCAGGCCTTCACCACCCTGTTGTCTGTGTCCACGGGCTATGCATATATGCATAGAATTCTTTGGTTAATCCCTTCCCACCCCCCTCCACCCTTCCCTCTGAGATTCATCAGTCTGTTCCATGTTTCCATGCTTCGGGACCTATTTTATTCATCACTTCGTTTTGGTCATTAGATT